ACCATTTGGGCTGCCTATGGCCAAAAAATAGACCACCACTTAGACCACCATAGACGGCCACTTAAGACCACCGTTTAGGGTTGCATTTGGTCAATGGACCACTGCATTTAGACCACCACTTATACCATGATTTGGACCGCATTTAAGACCGCCCGAGGTCTGCATTTAGACCATCCACTACACTGTGCGCCAAAGGTCAATAGACCGCTGCATTTCGACAACCACTTAGACCATCATTTAGGTTGTCTATACACCACTTAAGAGTAAAGACCACCATTTGGGCTGGCTATGGCCAATAGACCACCATTTTGGCTGCTGCCTATAGTCAATAGACCACCATTTAGACCACCATTTGGGCTGCTGCCTATAGTCAATAGACCGCTGCATTCAGACCCATATGGTAGACATGTCTATAGCCGATAGACCACTGCATGGAGACCCCCACTTAAACGACCCCTACCGCATTTAGGCCGCTATCATGACCCGGTACACAGGTACCATGACCATGCCCAGTGCCTGTAGCAATGCCGCCGCCACAAATCCTCCTCTTTGATGAAACCATCGGAAAGAATAGCATGCTCCATATGCGAAAAAGCGAGTCTATAAAATTAGAAAAAGAAAAGAAAAGAAAAGAAAAGAGACATGGAATAGCTCACTGCCCAAAATGCGTCGCTGACGAGTAAGGGAAACACACTTCGGTCATGTGCCATCTATAGGTTAGAGCCTCAATTAACAAATTCCTGACGGCTACGAGAACGCGGGTGCTCGTGTCGATCTGCCTATTGCCACATACAACGAATCCGCTATCTGTGATCCATCGACAGATGAAGGACCGGGGAGCAGGAAATTCCCAATCGCCGCAATAGATATCCAAATGCCTGTTCTCCAGCTCGGACTCCATTTCCTCCGAAGAGATGCAACATATGGCATACTGAGAGGGTCCTGCCTTTGGGGCCTCGCTCCACTACGCACCAAATGTGCAAACTGAGAATGAATCTTCCTCTAGAACAACGGAAAGATACACAGCCATACCTTTTTGTCTTTTGTGCATGTCGTGAGTAGTGGAGTGAGGCCCTTTGGAATACAAGAATGCCAAGCTTGTCTCGGTATAATAACCCCGAAGAAAACTTACACAATACCGTTTCAGATGTTTCCGGACTTAAAACTTTGTACGAAAATACACCGGTTTCCCAGGGAGAGCACTCGGGCGGGCCATCTTCGACCAGCATCTGTGTGCGGCAGTCAAATGCAGTGTCACATCGTGCTAGAAAAGAATGTTCACGGGGAGCCGCATCAGGACAGACAACCAAGGTAGAACCGAACCCTCTCACAGCAAGAGGAAGAGAAACAGAGCCAACGCCCGTACGGCAGAAGAAGACAAGAGAACCTAGGCCTACAATTCGGGAACACACAGAACCCAGGTCTGTACCACAGGAATAGAAATAGAACCCCAGGTCTGTATCGCAAGAATAGAAACAGAACCCGGGTCAGTATCGCACCGCAGGAATAGAAATGGCAGCTAGGTCTGTATCGCTAATTGTGCTCCGACAACCGAGGTAGAACCCTCTCACCTCAGAGGAAGAGAAACAGAACCACCGCCTGTACGGCAGATTCGGGTAGAAGTAGAATGATACCTAGAGCCTACATTTCGGGAAGAGAAACAGAACCCCGATCTGTAGTGCAGGAATAAAAAAAAAGAACTGGTCTGTAATCGCCAGAATAGAAACAGAACCCAGGTCAGTACCGCACCAAGAGAAACGGAAACCCAAGTCTGTGCCGCTAATTGTGCTCTCATCTCCTGAACATAACTAATCAATTTCAATCTCGGTGTGAAAGACAGCGCCCTGGACTGCGCAATTCACTCCAATTTTGGGGACCCCAAGAGGAAAGACTGGGGTCCATCCTGATGCCCTACGGTGGCCACACTGCAAGCAACACCAGAAGCCCAGGTCCGTGCAGTTGATCCACCTCTTGTCAATGCAGTGGCTCACAAAACCCAGCTTCCTGAAGTTGGACAGCATCCGTACCACATTCTGGTGGAGTTTGCCTAGATTCATGCAGCCAACCACATTCTGACCCTAGAAACAGAAGAAAGAACCTGGTCCATGCGAAGGCCCAGGTCCCTGCAGTTGATCCACCTCTTGTTAATGCAGTGGCCCACAAAACCCGGCTTCCTGAAGTTGAACAGCATCTGTACCACATTCCGGAGGAGTTTGCCGAGATTCATGCAGCCAACCACATTATGACTCTAGAAACAGAAGAAAGAACCTGGTCCATGCCAAGGCCCAGGTCCATGCAGTTGATCCACCTGTTGTCAATACAGTGGCCCACAAAACCCAGCTTTCTGAAGTTGAACAACATGTGACGTTTGGTTCCACAGGTAACTGGAGGAGTTTGCCGAGATTCATGCAGCCAACCACATTCTGAACCTAGAAACAGAAGAAAGAACCTGGTCCATGAGAAGGACCATGTGCTCACCCGAGTTCAACTGCAGGTCGATGGGACGTGGAACCGTGGTGGCCCATGAGGCTGACCCAAGTCGGAACATGGAGCCAGAAACAGATCCCATGTTCACGCACGCACGAATCATCGTGGCCGAAGACCCAAAGCCAGCCTTAACATCGACCGCAGAAGAAAAATCCAACGGCTGACTTACCGAAGACGAAAAACAGCCATCATGCCGGCAGACGAACAATCCAACAACTGGCTGATCGACGAGCAAAAGCCAGCCGTCATGTCAGCAGAAGAACAATGATCAACAATCTAATGACCACCAGAAGAACAACGCATGTTCTTGGCGGCAAAATGTACACCGCTCTGACGGAATATGATCACGCCGCAGTACTGCTCGTCCGCTCATTCCACATGATGATGGCAGACGCCGCCAAACTGCATACGATGCAGATGCCCCTGGTCCACGTGGGACCTTCACGTGAACCTGGTCGTGAAGGTCCACGTGAAGGCTGGCAAGAGTCGATAACTTCGGCCTCGCTCTACTACACAACGCTCTACATGTATCTGCAGCTCGTAGTCGTCCCGCTACCTTCAACATGTTGCACTCCTCGGAACGCACCTGGTCCACGTGGGCATCCAAATGCATGTGGAATGTTGAATAGTTGAGCAAGGCCCTTTGCCTGCCTGCTTATGAGGCGAATACCTCCCGTATTCATATGAAGCAAGACGGGCACTTCCCCCGAACAGAGACACAGAACATGGGCGTCATTATCTCGCCATCACCCAGACAGTGGCCTGTTCAATAAAACTGGTCACCACAAATGCTGAAGAAGAGCTTTCAAAAAGCGACACAATGTTTAACAGTCTCCATTCACATACGAGCATATCATTTCCAGTGCTGAGAAGAATATCACAAAGGACTGATAACCGTAGAGCTCGCTCCCTCCTCCTCCCAGTCATGTTGTCCCATTGTCCCCCCTGCAGTTCCCGACCTCCCACATTCCCTGTTCCCCACTTCCCACATCCGCCGCTCCCGACTTCCCACATTCGCCGCTCCCGACTTCCCACATTCGCCGCTCCCGACTTCCCACATTTGCTGTTTCTGCGTGTCCACATTCGCCGCTGCCGACTTCCTATTCATGTACACAACGGAACATCTTCTTCAGCGCTGTCACAAGCTCTTCATTCACTTTGGTCGACAGAACACTAGGAGAGGGGACCGATTGACCTTTCCACGCTGCTTCTAGAACGCTTCTCCGGTGCCAACAATCACCACGAGGCAACTGTTCGACAAACAGGAATGCTATCTTAGCAATCTACTATCATTTAGCCGGTGAGCAGGATCAACGAAACAAATTAGTACAGTGGATTATGCACTTGACTAAATGGGAAAAAAAAAAGCTGAAGAAAACGAAAGCCTTCAACCGTGTGAGATTTCCTATTACAGGAAATGCACATGTTACTCACCACCACACCGCAGACGTTAAATTTGTCTGCCGTCTCAGAATCTGATTGCTTGCAGAAAGCCAAAAAAGCACCACCTATCGCCAACTGTCAGTCATCCTGGCAAACACCTTCAACCGTGCGACACCTTTTCCTATGACAAGCCAATGCACATGTTACTCACCGCCGAGCCGCAGATGTTAAACGTGTTTGCGATCGCAGCAGCCAAAAAGCACCACCCATTGCCAACTGCCAACTGTCAGTCATCCTGGAGCCGTGCGACATTTTTTCCTATGAAGCGCAAATGCACATGCTACTCACCGCCAAGCCGCAGACGTTAAACGTGTCTGCCCTCAAAGAATTCGATTGCTTGCAGAAGCAAAGAAAAGCACCACCCATTGCCAACTGCCAGCTGTCAGTCATCCTGGCAAAGGGCTTCGACCATGTGAGATATCTTCCTATGACAGCCAAATGACCCATCGCCAACCGGAACCCGTATGCCATTTCGTACCGCACGCAAACTCACGTGTCGTCATCGAGCAGCAGACAGTCGGCCCGCCGGAAACTCGATTCCTTGCAGAAATTCAGCAGCAGACAGTTGCCCCACTAGGGAGTCTAGGGACTCAATTCCATCTGACATCCGACCTATGATGGCAATCAGCACCCATTGCCCAAACCTATGAGGGCAAAGCCATGCAGCAGATCAACCAGTGCCAAACATCGTCAGATCAGGTACTTGAAACATGAAATATCTGACGATTGGCAATGCAGCAGATCCCCCACTGTCAACCATCTGAGGGCAAAATCACACTATCACTTTTTCTAAATGCATCTGACTGCATTTACAGCCGAACCTGGATGCATCTGACCACAATTCCGTCCGTACGTAAGCGAAAAAAATCCTAGTGTGAGTATGCCCTGATACGCGCCACATGCCCAAAAGCCTCAGCAGAAACTTGGCCATAGTTACATCGACGGCAGAAGGGATGGCCCATTTGGGGGGGGCGGGGGGGGGGGGGAGCATCAGCACAGATTGCCAACTCAGCAAAGGGTTGACTTGATAGAATGATGCCTGGCAGAACACGACAACAACTCCCCCCCCTCTGTATGCAGGCTACCCTGAGCTGAAGCACAACGAACCAAATGGTGATCGCTTGGGTATCCCTTGCTGGTTACTAACATCGGCATTCAACTTACAAAAGCCCAGACGACAGCCATAGTCACATCGACGGAAGAAGAATTGGCCCTCCTTGTGGGGACATATCAGGAGGGCGATCGCTTGCGCATCACCCTCCTGCAGATGGCTCGTTCGATAGACTGCCCACAGAAGATGACAAGGCAAGCCCCCCTGTATGCATGTTACCCCCTGCTGGAGCACCAGGAACCAAAGGGTGATCGCCAGCGCATCACTTGCTCATCGCTAACATCGGCATTCCACATAGAAATTGCTTGACCGCAGCTGTCACAACTCACTCCTGCACCGCAGATGCCGTCGCAGCACTCGACTTAACCGTACCCACACAACTGGAAAGGGCCTCCGCAAACACTGGACTTACTGTAGACACCTGGTTGGAAATGGCCATCGCAGCACTGGACCTACCACAGACATCCGGACTTCACAACCAGTCTCTGCCACCCTGAGCAGCTTTTGGGCAAGCTGAATGATTGCCAATTTGTCATTCTTGGTGACCAGCACATCCCCATCATCACCATCACTAAACAACACTTGATACAACTACCGTAGTTGAAATGCTACTAGCCAGAGAGGAGCTTCGGGACTCGGCACCAATGAATCGAATGGTGATAGATGGCTGGCGGACGACAGGTCGGTCAGACTAGCAAAGCGCCAACCTCTGCTGCTGCTGCTGCTGCTCCATAGGTAGGATGAGAAACGTAACCCTCAACGAACCTGCCAGCTACATGTCCTTCATCCATGAATTAACTGGCAGCAGAGAGAGTGCAATTGAGGACAAATTTGCGGGCATCAGAGACTACACTATCCTGGAGGGGAAATGTCCCCTTTGCTAATGTCAGTATTCCCAAGTGAACTGTTTCCATAATCTTCTGCCCTCTTCATTCCTGCACCTTTGGTTTTCTTCTTGATCGAAGGCAGTGCTTTCTTCTTTGCCGCAGTTTTGCACCCATCCCAGTCTGAATCCGAGTCTCCGTCAGAGGGTGACAACGAATCTGAGTTCAAATCTGGGTCTGATTCTGAGTCAGGCTCTAGATCATCCTCCTCTTCCTCCCCGTTCCGCCGCCGGCGCCTCTTCTTCTTCTTCTTTCTGATCACTGGCAATTTCTTCTCCATGTCCCGCTTAACGTCCCGACGGCTCCTTTCGTCCTTCTCGCATTGCTCCGACTTCAACCCTTTTACCGTTTCCGGGTTCATTGGTACCTTGGTCCTGTTTCTGGGAATGCTGCGCCGTTTTCCCTTTCCGGTAGCGCGGCCATTGACTCCCGGAGAATCCTGTTGGCCACCAAACACTAGCACTTCATCGTTTGTGCGAACCCTTTTGCGCCCATTTGCTGGCGGAACACACAAAGAAGAATTATCACCACCAGCACTCACAGCAACACCGGCCGCCTGTGACCCCTTCTTCGGACGATCAAGAGCCTTCATCGAAGAAACAGTGGAAGCATTCACAACCTTTCTCGAAATTGTCTTCCTTGGACACGAAGCAGTGGCAGGGTGGTCCCTTCTGTACATTATCGCTTGGTCAAGAGAATAGATCCTTGTTGCTGCGGCACTGACAGAGATTCCTTGCTCTGCAGCGCACGCGAAGCCCCACCAATGCCACCATGAGCAGAGCCTCTCACCTTTCAACATCATCTCCAGCATGACGCTCGCTTCAGATAACTGCCCAGATTCGATCAACAATAAACAATGCAAAATGAAAAGTGAGAAAACATTGCAGAACTCAATACAACAGAAGAACTTCAGCCAGGTTGTACCATGGCTTACTGCCCACGTGAAAAGGAAAGGATAAATAGAGGCACACATCGTTTACACAGTGAAGATACCCGGAAAGAACGTTGGTACCAATGGGCCAAGCTCAGCTGGTACACCCACAAACTGTTGAAATGCAGACCCAAGTTCGAATCCAGATACAATCACATGACCAGAATAAAATCGGAAATGACCGGGATCGTAACAGGGGGAGCAAAACAACGCCCACCGACTCTTCGGATGGCTCTCCTTCCCTGATATTGTGTGTCTTGTGTGTGTGTTATGAATTATCACCACAACTTCCCCTATTCCACCAAGATGAGTAGATCCGAAGTCGTAGCAATTTTACGGTTTTTACCTCTATTGCAGACAATGAAGCATGCTTAAGATGAGCCAATCCACCAATGAAACAGTTTTGCTTGTAAAGTGAATATCTATTCAAAACCACCGGAATCTTACCTTTATACACGCAAGGAATCTCACCTTTATACAAGCAATGCAACACACTTGACATGGGTCAACCCAACAGTAAAACCAATACGAGACACAATAAATCCGTTACATCGTTTTCTTGATTATGTTTTCATCAACTAACATTGGGAGGCCTCCCATTTTCTTTGTTTTTGCAGTTCCCCTCTTACTGTGCCTATCACGTACAAGGCTGGCCATGTTGATGATGGTTGAGCACCAGCTTCCCACATCCCCATGTGCCTTTACGACCCACTTGCACGCTATAAAAGGAGGCAGAGTAAAAGGGGAACTTATGTTTTATATGTTCTCTTTAACAACGCTCGTTCATATGCGTTTACTGGAAGTATACATAATGTGTGTGTGTGTGTGTGTGTGTGTGTGTGTGTGTGTGTGTGAGAGAGAGAGAGAGAGAGAGAGAGAGAGAGAGAGAGAGAGAGAGAGAGAG